TAATAATGAAACAGGCTTTACACCATTAAAAACAGCAGTTCCAAACATACAATGAATAGTGCATAAATAAATGTTTTATCTCTATTTGTTTTTTCATGGCCAGATTCTTATACTCGTGTGCGTATGTGTATTTAAGTTTTAAAAGTTCAAATTGAATATTATTTCTAACTAAAGCCTAGTGAATATTGTTGCATTGCACATTTCAGTTGAACTAGATTTATATTTTCTTCATGTGCAATATCTATGTATATAATTTTTCTCATTACAGTGTTCGGAGCTTTTCGGTTTGATGAACTGTTAAATTTTCATTTCCATAAATGTTATTCTAATACAGTTTCATGGGCTGAATTAAAAAAATATATATGTATTTATTTAGAGAAATGATAAGACAGTACTGAAACTAACACTTGAATTCGGAAATATCATACATAAATTTCTTAAACACATCTTCATGTCAGTTTGTGTGACGCCAAATGAATTCACACAGATAACAGTCTACCATATTGTGATTGATTCCACAATGGCGTTTATTACGGATTTTCAGTAGATTCCAAGTATTCTCAGAATGCTGAGTGTGCGCACCAGTAACAGGGTCGACAAAATTATGACTAGGATTTATAGTAAGATGGACATATTTATAGCCTTCCATTGATTCAATGTTGCTGACGATGGTGGACTCAGGAAGAATGCAAAACTTCAAGTGTTTCTTTGTATCTGCGAGGGACAGCGTACAGAAAAATGCCCTTAGTTTCTCTGCATATTCCGCCAAAATCCCATTGTTCAGGGAACATTCTTCCATGATTAATTTTCTTTTAGCATATAGTGTCTCATCAACGTCGACGGTGCATTTTGGACCACCAATGTTTCGTGGCTCCTTCAAGATGGTCTCGAAACATACCTGAAATACACAACAATAACTTTGGTTAGGTTAGCTTAATTAATTGATTCGATTTAACTTATCTCTCTCAGATAATTCTTGTAGTCCACCACAGTACACCCATTTATGTTAACCTGACTTTACAAAGTCTGTTAGGAGTTTAACATTATAGTTGTTAACCTGATTAATTAAACAAAGCTTGCTATGAGTTTGCCCCTGGTACTCTGCATGAGGGCGTATCACGCTAAAAATCTGGTTTCGATACCCACGGTGGCCAGAGCGCAGATACCCCATTGTCTAGCCTTGTGCTTAATTAAAAACAAACAAAAGCTATAAGTTAAACATTACGATCACGAACGTGGTTAGAATAACCTTGCTAAAAGTAAAGCCCCCCAGTGGCACAGCGGTACGTCTGCGGACTTACAACGCTAGAAACCGGGTTTCGATACTCGTGGTGGGCAGAGCACAGATAGCTTTTGTGTATCTTTGTGCATAATTAAAAACAAAAACTAAAAGTTAAAGATTATGCATGTTAAACATAATGATTGCTAACCCGGTTCGACAAATCGTTGTTATAATATAAACTTTGTGGTCTAGTTACTAGTATCGGCTGGGCAAAAAGTGTGGGCACCCCTTATTTAAAACTAATGCTAATAATTAATTTTTCGCGTTTGGTGGGGCTTTAACAAACAAATTAGGTCTAAATGAACGATATGAAACCATTGATACTTTGAAACAAAAATTAAGTTTCGCTAAGATCACCTCTAATATGCTGAGGAGGATGTCACATCGTAGATGGAGACGTATCATCACATCCTATGTCATGAAAAAGAAGGGCAACAACCAAACATTTTGGATTATTAATCGAACCTTTTCTTAGTCTGTGTCAGGATTATATATGTCAACATGCAATAAATTCTGTATTTTATGTACACTATTTAAATTTGAGGGGGGGGGGTGCCCAAACTTTTTGCCCACAAAAAAACACATTGAGAAGAATTTTGGATCTGTTTGATGTTATGACTATCAACTTTGTTCTACAAGCCTTGCTATAAATAACATGCTGTGGTCGACAATATAATTCGGATTCTCTAATATACATGCTTTGAGTTAAACATTTGAAATATTGACATACATAATTCAGCAAACCCTGTTGTAAATTAAAGTGATATACCGGGTGATTCACAAGTTTGCATACGATAATGACTTTTCTATGTTCTGCCTTTTGAAATTTCACGAAACAATATCCCTGTTTCGATGAGGTTGCGACTCACGTTTGTAGCATTTGTACTGCTGCGGTTTGGTCGACTGTTGTGATTTTCCACTTCAGGTATTCTAGGTAATTTCATATGTGACAAACACCAAGCGTAAGATATATTTTCAGAAGAAATAGTCTAACAGGGTTAGATCAGGAGAGTATGTTGACCGTGCCATTGTTCCACACAACACTTAGTTCACCTGTTGGGAAAAGTATTTCTTGATATTTAATGCGTAGTGGAGCTGTAAACAGTCTTGCTGAAATCACTTGCCCTCTTGTATGCTTTCCAAATCCATGATCGTTAAGCTTACATGTTCTTGCGGAAGAACAAGGCATCTCTCTCCACTTAGTCATGTTGATAAAAAATGGACCAATAACATAACCTCTCACCATACCACACCAAACCGTGCTCTGTTTGCTCCCTGGGCCCAGGTTCCTGCAATCCAATGTGGGCTTCTTGGGACTAGTATCGACAATTATGGCGGGTCATTTCACCATTGACGTGAAATGTATCTCATTTGTCCGAAACATCTACTGAGTGAACTGTCCATCCAGTTTCTCCTGTGCCATGCCCCCCCCCCCAAACTCCGCATACCGGTCTTGATTATCTTCTGCCATTTTCTTAGGTGAAACAAATAAGCTTCCGCCTGGAATGTCTACAAAATTTTTTCCTGACTTGTCAGCTCAGTCCATAATCTCCATACAAAAGGACCACTTCCACACGTTATTTTGGAGTTTCTTGACATCCCAAAGAATTATCATAACAAAAGAAAAAGACGGTTAGTGAAACACAAATACGAATTATAGAAAATCATACTTAAGACGGACTTGGAAATATCATGGTGGTGAATAACTTTTGAGTTACCCTGTAGCAGTCACTGTATCTACAACCATTCTTATAAGTTAGACATTATGGTCATCAGTCGGTTTCCTGGAGCCAGTAACATGTATCTACAGCCCTCCTTATAAGTTAGATACAGAGGCATCTGAACCTGTTGTGCTGTAGCATCCCGTTTTTACATATTTGACTTGTATAGTAATTGTAAATTATATTATTATATTAATTTTCTAGGGGCATGCCTCCAGACCCCCTAGATTAAGCTACTGAAAGCAGCTTCTTATACTTTAAATCTTGAAGAGCTATTATGAAGCGCCAAGTGTAAGTTTCCAGTTTAAGGTAAATTGCATGAGCAATGTAAGCTAAATTGATGTGAAATTAAAATATTGTGTACTTTGTAGTTCTGTCATGAGCTTTAACCTCTGTTACCCAGAAAAGTTATAAATCGACATGTCAGTTTATAAATGTCACTACTCTATAAATTGACAAACTGGCTGAAAAATATATTTGTTGATCTAAGAAATTTACTTTATAATTCAAAATCTCGTTATCTCAATGTTGTAGGAAGGAGTTGAAAAGTGGGGGCGCTTTGCTGGACACGCAGAATTTATAATGAACAAAATCCTTATACATTTTAGCACCTTAATGAGTTAATGTAGTTG